ACTGGACTCGAGTTCAATCTTCCTGGGCTCCTATTCAATGTTTATATATTTAGTATCCATTAGAAAGTTATGATTCTGTCAGTGAATCTTAAGTCTAGATATCTGGAGATGGTTTCTTTTTAATTTGCTTCTCTCTGAATACTTTTGCTCCTCTACTCCATAATGCAGCTATTTTCCTCCATTAAATTACTGATATATACAGATATTTTCCCAAATAACTTAGTGCTTCTTCCCCCTTATGTCTTGTTGTTAAAAATAGTATTCTTCTGAACAAATGTTTCCCAATGAGATTTTGACTACCAGACACGGATAGTCTCTCACTGCCTGAAAACACATTTTTTATTTTTTTTGTCACTGGCAATCAGGACACTATCAGGACACTATCACTATAGCTTGATCACTTTCATTTATGACCTGTGATTAGATACTGTGATGGTTCGGATTTGGCTCCCTGCCAAATGCCCAACCCCCCAGTAGCAGCCCCTCTCTTCCCCCCTTTCTACTTCCCCCAGGGCAAAGGAAAAACCCGAAAATCGAGCTAGTTATATAAAAAATATATTTTATGTATATTACAGTTAAGATGCTATGTACACAGCAAATGGGAATCCAAACACCCCCCGAAGGGATAGGGAAAGGGGAAAAAGGGACAAAAGGAAACAAAAAGGGACACCGAATAGATACGCACAATCAAACCCAAGAACTAGTAAAATAGCTAGTAAAACAAATCTCACCACATCCCTTAGAAAGCAGGATTGGCAGACACTGCCAGCACTCTCCAAGCTTCCACGTGGCAGGCCAGCGGATGCTGCAGGCCTCAGCCTTAGATAAACGAGACCGATGCAGGGACCCACTGTTCCTGAACTTCGGCGGAAGAGAAGAAGAACGAAGGCCGCTTCTCCCCTCTTATTTATACCACGATTTACGTAAAAATCGTATGGAATACTGGGAACACTGCCCCTTCCTTGGTTACAAACTGGTAACCAGGGAAGGCCTAGATTAAAACCACCACAGACACTAACTTAACACTTCTCCTCAACAAACCCTGTTATTACTTATGCAATAGCCATGGCTTTCAGAAGAGCTTTACCACTGGCATTTTGATAGCAAATGTTGTCATTATTCTGCCTTTAAAATTCCACATAATTTAGGAGAAAGTTTCCCAAGTAACCAGTTTAGTTCTCCCACTCCTATGCTACTTTTCTGCAGTTAATGAGTTTTGCTTTAGCAATGTATATTCTTTGATAGGTTTGAGATCATAACTCTCATTCTTACAGAACTGAAAAGATGTTTACTGAGCTCAGGCTCCATTTCAGTGCTACAGCTTTTGGATCTGTTTAATTTCTCAGTAGAAGTTCTGCTACAACTAAATCCAGGTTTAGGTTTATGCTTTCCATTATGCAATTACACAAAAACAATTCAAGAAAACAAGACAATACTGTTTAGCATTCTAAAATAACTTTTTCTCTGATGCAAAGTTTGTTTTTTGAAGGTCTGCTGTTTGAGATCCACAAAATGTAACCAAATCTTGGAGCCCCTTGAACTGTCATTCTTGAGCTGCTTTAGTAGATTGATTATACAACTCAGTGATGTGGTTTTCAACATAATTTACCTTCAAAATCTCACATGAGGGAATATGAGATCATACCTCTAGATCAGTTAACCCAAGATGACAGCTGAAACAGCATTTTCTACAACATCTCTCTTGGAATAGTCTTCCTGTGACTCATTTTCACTTCAGTATTTCAGCCTATTAAATAATTTTGCATATTTGCAATTATCATTTAGCCTAGTAACTCTAAAATCTTTCTCGTACATTGATGGCAGACTGTGATAAAGCTGATTGAATTTTACTTTCAATACCTTGCAGTGATTCAGGTTAAGTTTGTTTTTTTGTTTTTGTTTTTGTTTTTTTTCATTGTGGTTCTCTTCCCTTCTACTGCAGGTACATTGCTACAGGCACATTGCCAGTTTCACACTGCAATAAATTTATAAGCTTTCTTTTTAGTTCATAACAAACTCTCTGTTCCCCAAACTAACCCCAAATACTCCCTTCTCTTGAATCTGTGTTTTGTTTTTTTTTTCTTTCTGAATTAGATACTGGGTTTGCTAGTTCAGATACAGTAATATGGGCTTCTCCTCCCATCTCTTCTGCTCAAACTGAGTCACTGCTCCAATTTTGCACATATGCTAGACCAAATTTTTAGAGGTGACCAACCATCCTTTACAGTTGTTTGATCATCCCCTAATTTTCATCTGTGATGTGTCTGCTGGGAGGCACAAGTTGCTCTTCAGCAGCACCTTTTGAATCATCACTTCCTTGAGATCTGTCACCACCAGATGGAGTAACTTCAGGGTTATCACAAATTTTCACTAATTACAAGTCTCAGTTTTAAGAAACCAAAATCTTTTGTACAAATTAACATTCAGCTCTGGAGCATTGAAAAGATAACATAAGAACAAATAAAATCTACAGACATATAAAAATCACTGCCTTGGCAAAGCCTTGGCTCTGAGGATTACTAACAAGGGAGACTTAACATTAATCAACAAAAAAGTATAAATTATTAACATAGTTTTACAGAAACAAGAACAGAGAAATAGTTTATTGAGGATATTTCAGAGAAGAACCAGTATAAAAGGCATTAAAATACAGGATGAGATCGCAAGGTCAGTAGTACTTCCTGATGACAGTGGGCACTTTGGTTTCAGATGCGATGGTGATTAGAGCAGGGTCACAGAGCAGCAGAGCTACTTCTCTGGCATCACTCTGTGAGCACATGTAGCACTGATGGGAATGCCAGGCTTCTTCCCCCATAAATCTACTCCTTCAGTCTATATGCAACAAAGGTCCAGACCCTGCAAAGATTGCATAGCTTTCTGTTGGAGCCAAACATGTGCATTTCTGATGACCATGAGATTAGTCCCATAAGACTCATGAGGGGGACCAAACTCGAACACATTGGCAAACCTGGGGAGGATTGAAGTTTTAGGCTGTGAATAACTGGTGTACTGAGGAACGGAACATAGGCTGGGAACAGGATTTACAGGATTCAAATGCAATAGTAACTGCTTGAGTAAGGGCCTGGGAGGTGTGTGTTTGGCTCTCAGAGTAGTATTTGGATAACATAAACAGTACCAGAAAAGAGCACACTAAGGCCTCAGTGATGGAAAACAAGGTTATAGGAGAATAGCTCTGAGAGGTCCAGCAGGGGCACGCAGAGGGTGTCCGGTGACCGGCAGCAAGCAGCCTGGTAACAAAACAGATAAGGCAAAGCCGGGGGGAAAACACCTGAGGTGGAAGGAACATGAAAGAGGACAAGGACTGACACGTAGGTATGGTGACAGAAAAAGCCTTGGCAGTTTGGTTGGACAGGGCAATCGGGGTGTCAGGGGGTTGGTTCACTTAAGAGGTCCCACTGTGGATCTTTGCAATGACCCACTGGAAGGAAGGAGGCAAAACTCTAGGGGCAGTGGGGAAAGCACAGACATGGGTTTGGGGAGGGGGCCTGCACTGCACAGGTGAGAAACACAACAATTACATGTTTTCTAGGAAGTAAAATATTAGTGAGGCCACATCTGGAGTACCATGTCCAGTTCTGGGCTCCTCAGTACAAGACAACAAACTACTGTGGAGGATTCAGATGTATAAAAAAATGATCACTGGAGCATCTCTCTTATGAGATACTGAGGGAGCTGGGCCTGTTTATCTAGTGAAGACTGGGACAGGATCTCATTAATGTGTATAAATATCTCATAGGTAGGTGCCTAAAGGATGATTCCAGACTCTTTTCAGTGGTGTTCAGCAACAGGATAAGGAGCAATGGCCATAAACTTAAACACAAGAAACTTCAACTTAACATGAGGGAGAACTTCTTTACAAGGCAGGGGGCAGAGTACTGGAACAGGCTGTCTGGGGAAGTCACGGAGCCTCCCTCTCCGGAGACATTAGAAGTCCACCTGGACATGCTCCTGTGCAATCTGCTCTAGATGACCTTGCCTTAGCAGGGGGGTTGGACTTCACAGGTCTTCTTCATAGGTCCCTTCCAACCCTAATGATTCTGTAATGCCAAACTGGGGCTGGTCACACCTGTGGCAGGGAACTTCTCTGGCGAGGCTGCAGGTGGCAGGGTAAGGTAAGAGAGCCATGAAGTACGTGAGGCGTGGCATGGCAAGGCATGGTGAGTGGTGGGTCCTGCCTTTGGCCACAATAACCCCATGCAGGCTGGGGCAGAGTGGCTGCAGTGGAAATGGATCCAGGAGTGATGGTGGACAGCTGACTGAACAAGAGCCAGCCGTGTGCCCAGGTGCCCAAGAAGGCCAATGGCACCTGGTTTGTATCAGAAATAGTGTGAGCAGCAAGACTAGGGAAGCGATTGTTTTCCTCTATACTTGGCACTGGAGAGGCCACAACTTAAGTACTGTGTTCAGTTCTGGGTCCCTATTACAGGAAAGATATGGAGGTGCTGCAGGACATTCAGAAAAGGGCAACAAAGCTGGTGAAAGGTCTGGAGCCACTCAGGGATGGCTGAGGGACCTGGGGGAACTCATCCTGGAAAAAAGGAGGCTCAGGAAAGACCCTATCGCTCTCTACAACTACCTGAAAGGAGGCTAAAGCAAGGTGGGAATCGGTAAGTAGCCGACAGGAGGAGAGGACACGGTCTGAAGCTGCACCGGGGGAGGTGGACATTAGCAGGAACGTGTTCACAGAAAGGGCGATTGGCCGTCGGAATGGGGTGCCCAGGGAGGTGGTGGAGTCCTCATCACTAGAAGCGTTTAGGAGAAGACTTGACGCGGCATAAAGTGCCGTGGCTTAGCTGACACGGTGCTGTTTGCCCACAGGCTGGACTCGGTGACCTTTCCCGCTCCCTCATCCTTGGCTCGCCTGCCCCGCCCCGCCGGGCGGAGGGCGCCCCCTGTCGGCACCGCCGGCTGCGCACGCGCGCCCCGGGGCACCGCTCCTTCCTTCCGGTCGCCATCTCGCTGCGGCCGCGTGTGGATCCCCGCGCCCTGCCCGCCGCTCCGGCCCCGCTCCGGCGCCGCCTCCCTCGCCGAGGTACGGTGAGGGCGGCCCGGAGGGGCGTGTGGTGCGGCCGGGACTGCGGGGCGGTGGGCGGCGGTACGGCGGCAGCGGCGGAGGTGGAGGTGGTGGGTAGAGGGAGGGAAGGCGGTTACGGGCTGGGCCTGAAGGGAGGCGAGGCGAGGCGAGGCTCGGCCGGGCCGGGCCGGGCCGGGCCGGGCCTGGCTGGGCGGCGCAGCCCGGGATCTGAGCCCGCTTCCGACCCCGTGGCGGGGCGTGTAGGTGTGCGGGCAGGGGTGGCCGGGGGGCCCCGGTGCCCGCTTGCCCCACCTGCGTTCCACAGCCGCCTGTGCCGGCGCTCTCGTTGCTTTCGCAGATGAAGGAGACTATCATGAACCAGGAGAAGCTGGCCAAGCTGCAGGCCCAAGTGCGCATCGGTGGCAAGGTAGGAGCGGTCGCCCCGCCCTTCCCTCGGGCTTGCGCGTCCTGCACCTACGCCGGGCCTGGCACGAGGCGTTCTGGAACTGGGGTGGGAGCAGACCTGAGCACGCCTAGCCTGGCTGGACTGTCCGTAGGGGTAGCGACGGTGTTGCAGGGCGCTCTGGAGTCACATCCCTAGGAGCTGGATGTAGTAGCTGAATCTCCAGCTATTTGGCTTTGGTTTTGTTATGTTACAGCAATTTAGTATCCGATATTAGGGCGCACGGGAATCTCATGCGGTTTAACAAGACCAAGTGCACGGTGCTGGACCTGGGTCGGGGCAAGCCCCTGTATCAGTACAAGCTGGGGGATGAACAGATGGAGAGCAGCCCTGCTGAGAAGGACTCAGAGGTACTGATGCATGAGAAGCTGGACATGACCCAGCAATGTGCACTCACAGCCCAGAAACCCAATTATGTCCTGGGCTGCATCAAAAGCAGTGTGGGCAGCAGGTCAAGAGAGGGGATTCTGCCCCTCTACTCTGCTCTCATGAGACCCCACCTGGAGCATTGGATCCAGCTCTGGGGTCCCTTTTGGAGTGAATTCAGAGGAACACTGAGTTGATCAGAGGGATGGAGCACCTCTCCTGTGGGAAAAGGCTGAGAGAACTGGGATTGTTTAGCCTGGAAAAGAGAAGGTGTCAGGGTGACCTCGTTTCAGTGTTTCAGTATTTGAAGGGAGTCTACAAGAAAGGTGGGGCAGGACTATTTACAAGAGCATGTAGTGACAGGACAAGGGGGAATGGGTTTAAATTGAAAGAGGGTAGGTCTAGATAAGATATTAGAAAAAAGCACTGTGGGGGTGGTGAGACACTGGAGACCCAGGTTTGCCCTGGGAAGTAGTGGATACCCTGTCTCTGGGGGTGCTCAAGGCCAGGTGGGATGGGGCTTTGAACAACGTAGTCTAGCTGAAGGTGTCCCTGCCCACAGCAGGGAGTTGGAACCAGATGATCTTTGTGGTCCAACCCAAACACTTTGTAGAGGGTTTTGTTACAGACTCGTCAGAAATATTAAGGTTGCTTAAAGCTGTTTTTCAGTCTTTCAGCACAAGTTGGAAATTCTGCACTTGTTACATGCCTGTAGTTGTAGACTAACAAGCTCAGAAGACCTTTTCATTTTGTTAAGACATCTGAATATGCGTACCTGTGTGTTTACTTATAATCTGAAAAGACAAAAAGTATATTTAGTATAGTCATAGGGCAGTATATATTTTAATTACAGAGTGAGTCTTAATTCAGGAATTTTTCAGTAATGTTTTTATATGTGGGAGCATACACAATGTTCTAGAATACAAATTACTCAACAGAACTCTTGCAAAGGAGTTTCCAGGAGCTTTCATTCCTGTGGTGTTTGGTTCTGTGGGTTTGTTTTTTTTTTTTTTTTTGGCTGATTGCTTGAGATTTAGACAGCCTTAAATCAGGATTAGTGAAGTAATTCGTTGCCTTGGTGATTTTGGATATTCTTTGTACGAGTTACTGGTTAATAAGAGTACTCCTGTATTATGTTGCTGATTCTGTGCATGTTAACCGGTGCATGTTTGTTGACTGTAGAGGCTTTTAATATTTGTCACATAAGAGCATGGCACGCATTCAGATTACAGCTCTCACAGCTCTCTGGTCAATATCAAAAAAAAAAAAAAAAAAAAAAGTCTTTTAGAGACATTAAGCAAAGCTTAGAATGATGGTGCTGTAATTTATTTTTAAAATTTGCCTGTGAATTATTTGGAATGCCTGAACTTGAGTTTTAATTTTATTTTTTTTTCATAGTTCGAAATGATTTCTGGGATTCTTCATGGCATTGTTGCCATGTAAGTTGAGATAGGTGTGGAAGAAGTACATGCTTCTACATAGTCCTTGAATGTTGTGAAATTTACTGAGATCTTTGGTCCAGAGAGACTTAGAAAATACCTTATCTGTCTCAATTTCTGGGTACACAAGGCACTACAATCAAGCCATTTCTGCTATTTTTAATTATTTCCAAATCACTCTAAATGCTTAACTAACAGTAGCAGGGAGTGTATATCAAGCTGTCTAGACAAAAATGTAAACTTCTGAGGTGTAGTCTTCCAAATATTGGTTTCATAGGAATTTGTCATTCACACTCCTTGTTGCTGGTAACTGAGTTACTTTAAAGTTGTTAGTGTCCAGCCAGTTTTCCAGCTTCTGGCAGTTAACTGAAAAGGTATTCCAGCTATTTGTATGGCTGGGCAGCAACACATTCTCTTACTGCTGTGTGTGGCAAATGAGCAGCTAGAGTAGGAGGACTTAAATTTATAGTTACAGTATGTAAAAAAGAGCTTAGTTTCACTTATTCCTAGATATATTTTATGTCATATTTTACTGAACCCTTATGATTTTACAAGGGAGTATAGAATGACATTTTCTGCTTTTTCATGGCTATAGTTGTCTCCTAATGTGGGACAGTTATTTCCCTGGAGAAATCTAGAGCTCTGGATCTGCAGGGAACTTAAACTTTTCTTGTTTGATTTCTACATAGGGTTGGTCTGGAACATTTTTGACAAATGAATTTATAAAATATTTTAGAAAAAGATGCATTCTTCAAATATGTAAGTCCGTCAAATGGGAGATGGCTATCTGGAATAAAAATTTAGTATTTTGAATTTCCTCATATTCATTTATTAATCACGTTTTCATAACTTTATGGCTTCTGACTACTACTAAAATTTGACTATAATTTAAGAAAGATGATCTAAGGAAAAAGTAGTAAGCTTTGGAAACTACCTAAAGCTGTTCATTCTTTAGTTTTGTGTCTGTGATAGCTTGGGTTAACAATGCGAAACCTGCAATTTCTCTTTTCTAAGATGTTGCAGAATACCATAAGGTTTGTGGAATAAATGCTTCTCACAGACTGTGCAAATATTGCCTTTTAGGAAGGGAAGGACTGCTGCAGTGCAGCTGGGGGGTGGGGTTGCATGCACTGTAACACAGAAACACAGCAGTCGAACTTTGTATGTTAAGTTGATTTGTTGATGTTGCAAAGTACTGACACAGCCCTGAGGATTAGAGTTTATGAAGAGCTACTTAAGTTTTTTTTTTTTCTTTTTTGCAAAGGGTACTGCCCGCAGAAAGAAGAAGGTTGTTCACAGAACAGCTACAGCAGATGACAAGAAACTTCAGTTTTCATTGAAGAAACTGGGAGTCAACAATATTTCTGGAATTGAAGAGGTAATTGATTTAAAGGAGAAAACATTGTATATGTAAATAGAAAAGGTATTAAAATTGATTTTCTGGTAAGTAACATAGCTCCCAAACTTGTCTCTAAAATACCAATAGGACTTCATGGAGCTTTAAGAACTTCAATTTCCTGTTAAATTGAAAGATCTTGCTAAACTGCTTCAAGTACTGGATTTTTTTTCTTGCAGGTAAACATGTTTACCAATCAAGGAACAGTCATTCACTTCAATAACCCAAAAGTTCAGGCATCTCTGGCTGCTAACACTTTCACTATCACTGGCCATGCTGAGACAAAGCAGCTGACAGAAATGCTTCCTAGCATCCTAAACCAGCTTGGAGCTGACAGTCTGACCAGCCTGAGAAGATTGGCAGAAGCCCTACCCAAGCAATGTAAGTTGAAACCTGAATGTGTTTCATGCTGGCAGCTGATGTGAGGCAGTGCACTCTTGCTGCCTGCTTATAAACGCTTATAAAGAAATGGAACTCCTTAGATCTTATTTATAGCTCAAATCCAATGACAAGTATAACTCAGTAAAGTCGTGTCACCTGTTGGCATGTCTTGCAGCTGGTCTAGCACTGGAAAGTTGTAGCCAGACTTGATATTGTAGTAGTTTCCTTCTTGATGTAGCTACCATATTTTGACATACCTTGTTCATTAAAGCTAGGTGGATGAATTACTTTTGAACAATTAGGTTTTCTAAAGGGACACTTTGAATGGAAGTATAAGTAATGGGGAAAGGGACTTAAAAAACGTCTTCGGTTGCTTTTCTGCCTCGCAGGTGTGGTGAAGGTATTTCTTGTGTGAGCTTTTTAATAGGTAGGAGGGAATTACACAGTATTTGTAAGGAAGCACATCATAATTTCAGTATGCATAGAACAGTGCAGGGAACAGGGCTGGCATGAGCATCAAACTAGGTACACCAGCTTCCTCTTCCATCCTTACATTAGTAAAACAACTGGAACATTTGTTCTTTCTAAAACTGTGTGGGAATAGTAGAGGGGGGACTTGAGTAAGTGGTGTTTGGAAAAGATGCTGCCACAACAGGATGAGAATTAGGAGTGAAAGACAGGCTTGTTGACACAGGGAACATTCCTTGTGTTGTGCATATACAGTCTTCCTACTTTCTGAAATACCTTAAGCCTATTCCTTTCAAGATATGGAACATCCTAAATATGGGAAAAATGGAAGAATATCATTGTGTTCAGTTTTTGGTGTTTCTGACTTGATTGTAATTTTTTTCTTACTCTATTGCCAATGAAAGAGCCTGTATTTCCATTCCTAAAGTTTATGATAGTACCCTCCTGTCAACTTCCCACTGTTTTTCCTTCTTCCTGCTAGAAGTAGTCTTCAGGATGTGGGGTAAAATGCTTCTTTCCCCATCCATGATTCTTGGGTCTCTTCTTCCTAATATCATCTGTGTGGCTTCCTTGTTATAGTAGTAGGTTTGAAAGAAAAAAGTACTTGAAAGATTGAAAATGATCCTTGAAGTTCTGTCTTATAACAAGGCGGTTATATTTTAAGATAAATTGTGTAGTTATAATAAGAGGAGGTTTTTTTGAAGTGATTGCTTTGTATGACTTAGTAAATAGCTGGTTTTTTTCAGTTAGGGTGGATGCCAGAGTATGCACAAAACTTTCTTTTCAGTATTGTCAGCTAGATTTGGAAGCCTAACATCAATGAGTGAGGCATTTGTGATGATTGCAGGTGCTAAAGTAAACATGGGGATGAGAGACAATGCAAGCAACTTAGGAGGACATAACATCATTTCCTTTTAAAATGTCCCATTTGACAGTAAGATGCACTTGAGATTTAAGAGCTTTCTGCTGTTAAAAAAGCAAATGAAGGTTAGTGGTGTCCCTATCCCAAGCCCTTTCAAACTAAAGTGTATGCATTCACTGGTTCTGATTCTCTAGAAATTATTGTACAGGTCTAGTATAAACCCATCTTACTCCTCATGCTTTTTTTGAAAACTGAGAAGGATGAATCAGAACAAAACTTAAGTGCTAGAGAGTATGAGACAGCTTACCCTTGGTAGTACAGCTAAGAATAGCAGTAAAAGTAGTGGCTCAGGCACCTGAGATATCTATTCTTAACATTACACTGCTGCAGTTCAGCAAATGCTTGTTGGTCTGCTGCCATGGGTATGGTTAACTTTCTATATCTTGTGAAAGACATTGGGAATGGTTAAAGAAATTACTGAGCAAACATGGGGAACAGAACACTTGCTCACCTCAACCACCTAAGAAGTGTATAAAATTGTGCATCCAGTCCCCTAATTCTCTGACTTTGCCAGGGAACAATAGTGTCTTTTAAATACCTCTCAGTCATGTGTGTCTGCTTGCAACTTCCCAACTGCACCTCAGTTTTCTTTTGAGTGTCTAGGATCATAAGATCATTTCTTTTCCTTTAAAATTTATCATAAATCTTGAGTAACATGCAATAGTCAATAAACCAACTTACTTTTAAGAGAAATTGGTATAATCAGTCTCTGCATTGTATTTGAAAATTATTACCATGAAGAGCACTCAGTATGGTTAGATACAAAATGGGGACTAGTAAACTGGTTTACCACACATCATCTGACTTCCCTGCTAGACTGTTTGAGCACTATCATTAACAAAGGGAGTGTGAACTTCCTAGGTTAGTTGAAAATTTTTGTTCAGCAGGGGAACTGGATAAAGCATTGTATCTTACCTCAGAATCTTACATAATGCTTTCAGAAAACACAAAGCAAAACAGCTAATCAAGATGCCTATGGTGAGTTTGAGTGACACTTTTGAACTTCTTGCTCTTGTAGCTGTGGATGGAAAAGCACCTCTTGCTACTGGTGAAGATGATGATGATGAAGTTCCAGGTAAGAACAAGCATGCAGTGGAGGAAAAGGAAGTGAATTATTCTGAGAGATTTCAGCATAAGCAGAGCATATAAGATCAGGCCGGGAGTGGTAAGAGTATTGGCTAGTCACTTGCTGCCACAGAATTTCTGCAGGCAGATGATCTCCTTGATTTCAGATACCATGAGAGACTTAGTAGTTTGAGCTAGCATTTTGATCCTGTGTAGAAGTAGTAACTATGGCTAAGATAATTATTTAATATTCCATAAGAAGGGCCTGAAGATAGTACCTTCTCAGTATGATTTTGCCCAGTTGTGAGTATAGTGAAGTTAAATGCTTTTAAAATTGTGCTAATAATGAATCATCCAAAACTTCTGTGGCTGAGCAAAGAGAATGAATCATGAAGCTCATTTGGTCTGTATTTTATAAGCTGAAAGTTTTTATGTTGTAAAAACTTGTGATGAAGTGGAACTTTGGAAAAAATCCAAACCCAAAATGTTTGGAAAAGGGAAAGTGGGTCAAACTTTAATTCTAACAATCTTCTTTTTCTAGATCTGGTTGAAAACTTTGATGAAGCTTCGAAGAATGAGGCAAACTGAACTAAGTTTTACTTTCTGAATAAAACTGAAACTTGAAAAAGCTACATAGAGCTGCTATTTTATATTGTGACTGCTTTGATCTAATTTCCTGATGAGATCTCAAGATCTATCATATTTGGAAACTCCTTGAATCTGCAGCTCCTTAGTTACTGCTTGTATACCATATTATTTCTGTGGCCCGAACAAACATATGCTTTGAAATAAGTCAGATTGCTAACAAATTTCTGCCTACACGCATTTTTTGAGTACCTTGTATACAAGCAAAACCCTATCTTTTAATGAACTTTGACATACAATAAAAATATTAAAAAAAGTTTCTGGTGTGGCTTTTTGTCAGAAAAGCAGAAAGAAAAATGGCTGTAAATATTTATCTTAAAAAGTTTTGCTTTTCTGCAGGGCATCTTCCTTTTGCTATGTTAAAAAGCTGGCCTCCCTAAAAAAAAGGCATTATAAAGCATTTTGTATTTAATCATTGATTCCCAGTGTGTGCGGGTCAGAGCTACATATGCTGTAAGTCACTTTGTAACCTACAGAATTTGAGAAATAAATTAGTATTCTAGCCACAGTTACTGGTGGCATAATATAACATAGAACATGCAAGTTGAGAAAGAAATTTACTTGGCCGTGAAGAACAGCAGCAAGCAATTGGCATCTCGGGGAACTTAGAGTGTTAAATTTTTATCTTCAGTATTTACTAGGTTTAATAGGTATTTAATAGTTTAGTAGGTATTTGCAGGACATAACTGTTAAATGGGTTAAACAATACATTCCCATTATTTTAATTTTACTTATCTGAAAATATCAGTTATGTGGGGGAATGAATTATAGGAAGGGGGAAAAGCCTTAATAAAATTGTTAATGGCTCTTTATTAAGTCTGTATATATCAGCTCCAGATCTATTAACTAACAATTTTGTTTGAATGTTTCAGTAATATGTTATTGCTTTTTTGTGTTACAGAGAAAAAAATAACTTGGTTTTAGGGCACAAGAAAGACTTTTCAAATTCCATTCTGACCATTGTATAGCTGGAGCTTCCAGGGGCAAGGGCTAAAACTTCATGTCTGTGAGTCACTGATGTTAATGATAGATCATATCACTTGCATAACAGAAGGTAAGCTAGGATGGAAGAGCACTCAGCTGCCAGCCGTCTTAACTTGTTTCTAGAACAAGTACTTTTGGAAGTCGAAATTCACCCTGACTTGTCCAGGATAAAATCCAGGTAAGACTTTGCTATAGCCATAACAAAGTTCTACTCGTGTTTGGGAAAAGGTGGGTCTGTGTCTAACTTGCCGAGCACGTTTTTCATGGTGTAAGTCATTACTGTTGGGAAACTGGAGGAACTTATTCAAGCCATAAAACTCTTGTGGTTTGAGGTAAGACACAGTCTGATGTGAGCATGACATGGCTGAAGTCAAGTGCAAGAACTTAAAGTAATGATATGAGTACACTTGTCTCAGTTTGCAAGTACTTTGGAGCTTGTTAGCCCATAAGGCAATCCATCTACGTCCTGAGGACCTCGCTGCCACCGTCCAAGCGTGCTTGGCCCCGGCAGATAAACCTCAGGATTAAAGGGTGGGCTCAGTTCCGCGCACACTGTGTCTCACCTAAAAAATCCAATGCGCAGGCTGGAAGGTGTAAAGACCTTCCCCGATTCTTCGTTTGCGAAGACTGGCCATTACATATTTCTACCATTGAATTAGTTAAAAGAGTATGTTCCTTGAATTGTGGAAGTACAGTAGAAAAACTACAGACTGTGTGAATTTGTGTTTTGAAATGAGGATGGTGAATGTAATTGCCCTCTAAAAGGTAACCAAATTCTACAGAGTAGTTTACCAGACTTCCTGTGACCTGTCAAATCAGTAAATGACATGCTGGGTTTTTCTTAGAAGTCAATAAATGTGTTACCTGTTTTGTGATTCAGATATATAAGTCCTCATAAATACTTAAAGCCACTGTAGCTGCTGTTAATGAAATACTTCATACTGGTTTCCTATGAAGTGACTTAAATGTCTTGCTTAGGTGTTCCAGACAGTTTTTTGCCACTAACAGACATACTTGGTGCTTAAAAAATAAGATTGTTACTAAAGCAGTGTCTTTGAAATGCAAAGAAAGGCTAATCTAGTGATAAACAGCTATGTGACATGTCTGGAAGTCTGTGTGCAAAAGTACACTCCCAACACTCTCAGTCAGGAAATACTGGCATATCTGCATTCCCAGACTCTTGACTGAGGACAAAGATATGAGCAAAATGTGTTCTTCATTATTGCAGATTCGAATTGGAAGTGTATAATAGTCTTCATGGCTAACTTAAATGCTCAGTCCTGGACTCAGTGCTGTGATGATTTCCTCTTGCTAAGGAGAGTTTGGTTATGCTCTTCTTAGTCTGTCATTAACTGCTGGAAACTGAGATTAGTTGTCACGATGTTTCTTATCAGGTTGAACTTCTATGTAACCATAATGTAATTATGTCATTATGGATTCACATCTGTAGTTTTACTCTGGCTTTGTATTTCCATTCCAAATATTTTGAACAATGGAGAAATGAAAACAGATGCCTGTGTTTCTGTTGAAACAAAGGTTTATTTGAGCTTGTTATTTTTTCTGTCACATGAAGTTCTGAAACAGCTTGATTCAATGTAGTAGTGGGTCCTAGAGATTTTTTTCATAGTGTTTGTGACAAGTTTTTGGAAATATTTTCAAAATAGTTAATCTGCTTCAATGGCTTTGCACTGGTTTATAATTAGTATATGCTGATACTAAAAAACCAAAACCCTCTTGGAAGATGGTGAAACTATGTATTTTATTAAGCTAGTGTGTTGCATATATAAAAATAAAAAGCTTCCTACTGTTGTTTTAAAATGACCTTGTTTTTAAAGCTCTTGAGGGCACCTTGTGTTATTACAGGTTGGTTTGTCACATTATTAAAGCCTTGTGAGTCTATGGTTGTGTCTCTTAGAAAATGTAACCAGTGAGAATTTCACATAATTAGTAGTGCAAGTTTACCGTAGTGACCAAGGAAGAACACTTGGTTTAAAATGTTCCCAGCTCAGTACCTCAAATGCCAGATCAGTACTTTTGTATCTGATTATATTGATTTGCTAGGGGTGTGAGGGAAGCTCAATGTAGTTGCCACCTTTGACATTTTTTGTGTTGATACTGTTTTGTGGGTGACACATCATGTAGACACTTTACTTTTCCTCAAGTGTTTTGCTGCATCTGCTGAAGTCTAAGTGTCATGTGATGGTACAGATAAAGTAATAACAATTCTTTTCTTGGAACAGAGTAGGTTGTATTTGTTATCAGAGGCAGTGGAAGAATATAAGGAGAAACGAGATGCAGTCAGAGCAGTGGCTAAGGAAAAGGTTTCTGTGGTGGGAGGCGAGTGGGAAAAGTTAGTATTTTTCAAGGATGGCAGAAGAAGTGATGAGAAGGCAGAGGAAGTGATGAGAAGCCAGAATATGGAAGCTTTTTGATCATCCTGTTTGTGAGAATGGATTCAAGTAAGTTAGGAAACTAGACAGTTAATATTCAGCACAGATAGGAAAGCCTATAGGGAAGTCCATGTTGATGATCACTAAATTACAGCCTTAAGTTACCAGCAAGATAGTGGTGTATGTAAAAAGGAGGGATTTCTAGGCTAGATTCTTTAAAATATTAAAAAATACTCAACATGTCTTGCCCTTACCTAATACATGCAATGTGGCTTCTGATTTTTCTAAGCTTTTCTTTGTTCCTTTTCAGATCTGTCATTTTAGCTGCATCCAGAAATTTGTGAGAACTGCTGAAAACACTTTTTACTGGATATGATAATTGAAAGATGCTGACTAATAACAGAGATTGAATTCTGGAAAGATGTGTGTTTTACGGAAAAGGGGCTGACAGTGCAGCTGAGCCAAGTTTACTAAGCTAAGGTGAACAGTCTATAGCATGAGATGATTAGTTTGACTGTGAGTTGAACTCAGTATCCATTAAAAATGGATAAAAAGTGGATATACATAAAAGCTCTGAGAATCAGATGTACAGCTTTCTGTGTATTGTAATTGACTTCAAGCTATGGTTCCGTGGTAACATACGGTCTCACATGCAGTCTCATAATGAAAGTTTTGACTGTTCTGTTAATATTCTGCCTTAAAGCATGGATTTTTGTTAGAATATTATTGAACAGAATAGAATGTTATTGAATAGAAGGAAGACAGCTTATGTGATACTGTTACTGTACTGTCTTGCTGTAATTTTTTTTTTTTTTTGCAATAAGGAGATTTAACAAATATAACTTATTGCCTTTATGTTGCACTGAAAGTATTCTGGGAATAAAAAAGGCAGAATTCTAGGTATCTTACTGCTATTCAGTTACTGGTTGAAGGTCAGTTTGATCTAGCAGTGCAGTGCTTTTGCACATTTCACACAGTCAGGGATTTGATGTGCACTGCAGGATACAGGCAGATAAATGTGGAAGTATCTGCTGCACTTGAAATCCTTATTCTGCATTTCTATTGAGCAGTGCTTGTTTGTTTCTGAGTACTGGAAAAATGTAGTTGTGGGTTGTATCCTACTCCAAATTTTTAGGACTACCTGAAGTTAAAAGTGCTTACATGCTCTATGTAAGCTGCACCTGAGTTAATAAGGTCTTTTGGGCTTATGCTGGAATCTCAGAAATTTCAGCCCACTTACAGCTGATTAGTCTTGCTTCACAACCAACATGTAAGTTGTGGCAAGTGTTTGCACCTCTGTGTTATAGCATCATTTTAAACTCAACAATAAGATTAAGCAAGGTTTGGAGTTGGAAGTATACTGAAAGGAGGAGCTCTGGGTTTAGGCCGCAAGTCCAGGAACTGTGGCTAGTCTTGCTATTCTTTTATTTCCAGCAACAGGCAATTACATAGGTAACCGAGTGTCACTTGACAGATCTCTCAACAGTAGCATTTTGTGGGCTTCTGTTTTGTGATGCAGTCCTAATAACTGTATAAGCAAGACTCCAGCCATCTTTAAGGGCCCAGCTGAGATGCAGGAGGGCTTCTTGCACTCTTAACTTGTGACTGTGCAGGACAAAGATAATATTAAGATCATTGTGGGGGCCAAAATCTATGCTAGATAGGTGACATTTGTGTTTCATCTGTGGTGTTAAATACTCAGTGTGACTGTGAGTCCCAGCAGAATGATGTTAAAATGCATGTGGTGATGAAGATCTTCCTTATCTCTTCAGTATTGTTGAATGTGGAGAACTAGCAGAAATTAAAAGTGGTAATGCCTCACTAGAGCCAAGTAGGTGACTAATATAGCAGTCAGCAGACTTGAGTGGGCAGGAACCATTTTTATAATACTTAATATGATCAACTACGTCTTAAGGACTTCTGCATTTGTGTTGGTTTCTAATGTTATTTGGCTTCACCTGTACAGGTCAGTCAACTCATTTGGTTGTGTTATAGCTGGGGAAGGAAGTTCATCTGCCCCCACCAGGCATTAGTCTCACCTAAACATATGGTGAGAGACAGCTACTGCCTCAAGGCTCCTGATGCTATAAAGGTAATGTGAACATGAGTGTTTGTAGGATTCAAATTTAAACTAAAAATGAGATACAGTGAAAAAATCAAACAGTTGTGTCAGCACAGTGGTAAACTTACTGATTTGAGGTGTCCATTAAAAGTTTTTGTTCCTGGTACAGTTGGTATCCAGAGAACCAGGGAGGAGTTAATTATGTAATAATTTATTTTCCTTCTGGCTGCTTTGCACCAGTTAAGTGTTAGGAATCAGGAGATGGTACATTTCTTTCTGGTTTAGGGAGGTTCCTAAACAGTGTGAAACCAGCATAGCCAGCTCATGCAGCTAGGGTTTGCCTTTACCTTGGGGACAGCATTTGGATGAACAATCCCCATGCAGATCTGCAGCATTTCATGCTCCAGTACTTACTACCCAGAGGTGGTGATCTTTTAAGATTTGTGTGTTTATGTGTGTGTAGTTCTTACTGTGTAGAAGCTAGAATAGCCTACAGGTCTCAGAATTCACTGACTCATCATCTTCCACCAGCATACAAAATTCAGACTTGCTTAGATGTGAACTTGTGCACGTATACACTGGTGTGTAGGCTGACCTCTGTCAGGAACTGTAGTCTAGATGGATTGTCATCTTGCTTTAGTGTGTCATTTCAGCCCTTGCGTTTGTAGAACAGACCCTTTACTCCCATTATATTTGTTCCTCATATTTTAGCATTGCCCTATTTTAATCATTTGTACCTTGAAAATTAGGTGAATATTTCAAAATGTGGAGTTGTTTTTATTTTCCACTTTTCAGTTATGTCCCACGTTGGGTGCGCTCTGGTTTCATGAGGAAATATAGTGTATTTGACAGACAAACTATCTCAGCAGGCTGTAAATGAAATTCCAAGGGAGATGCAAGCCTTAAAGGATGCACCAGTATATTTTTCATGTAGGCTGTGGACCTTCTTGAAACCTTTGCATTTTTATGTGAACAGAAAACCATAACACTTCCAAACAAAAGCACTTTTGGAGACAATGGCAGTGTTGTTACACCTGTGATCTTACCCTGTATTTGGGATAGATATGATACCACAAGTGCAGAGTAGATAAGCAAGCTGCTTTTGCAATGCATTTTCAGAAAGAACTGTGTGTTGAGTCTTATAGGTTGTAACATTTAAGACAGTCTAGATGTAACCTAATGGCTTACAAAGGCAAGGTGCTGGGATTTATAGGGTTTAGGCAGAACTTGCCCATATTTCCATTGTTCTAGAAGCCTGAGTAAGTTCTGGCACATCAAATTTCCCTGCAGATTGCATACCATTCAGTATTCTCTAGCTGACACCACCATACAAAGGTTGAGTCCAGCCTATGATAGGTCCTCCTAAAATGCTTGCAAGTGATCCATACTAGAATTTGTATGAAAATGATGCTGTCCTGTAAGCTCTATTTTTATTTATGAAACAGAAGTGCTGATGTGCTAGAAAATTTTGTAGGCTGTGAAAAGCATGTGATGGCTCTGTATTTGCTATGTTTTGATTTCAGTGCTAAAAAAAGAGCACATACAGTTGATTTGCATAATGAATCAAAACAGTATCTCCCACAATGCAGGTCAGGATTTTTTTTCAGAGGATTATTCAGGGATTACTTAGGTTTATTCTTGCAGTAAAAGGATGAGCTAGACAGTGCAGTCCACAGTGCAGCTGTAATCCACCTTGTTGCTGTGTCCAGTTTCCCTTTCTGGTGGGGTCTTCAACTTTCCCTGCTGATTTCTGTGTACATGGTTGGCCTCATCACTGCTCATCTGCTGAAGACTGACTGATGTGCTTTACAGTCCTGTATGCCTGGAGAGTTGCTAGCTTAATTTGGTGACAAATAACCCTCAACAGAAAGATCTATTCAGGCGTCATTCCTAGGACTAACCCCTAACAATATCTTTGATCTTGAAAGTTCCAAGTGACTGGATTCCTAATTCACCCAGATATACATTCATTGCCAGATGGAGCAGTGTACTTCCTGAAAGCATTATGTGCTGCACAGCAGGAGGTGCATGCAAGCGGAACTGCTATAACAATACTAATGATGATCATTCTAGTGATGGGCAGTGTCTGCACTCCAGTGATTTATACTGTCGTTGTTGAGGAAAAAAGTCTGGTCCACAGTGTTCAGGAAAAACTCTGCTGGAATGTCCCTAACAATCAGCTTACTAGTGAAAAATGCAGAAGGTATTTGAGTCTATCATCCCAGTAAATACAGTAATTTTTTTTTTCTATCCCATATTCTTTTCAGTTTCTTGAGAATACGGAGTTGCATCTGATTGGTGGTAGGGGTGGGCTAGAGCTGTGAATATGAACTGCTTAGGCAAAACAAGTTACCTAGAATTTGGATAAACTTTCATGTTTGCTCTGTTTCTAACATTTTTTGTTCCAAGTAGTGTTATAAAACAGTTGTGGAAAAGAAGTAATAGTTCTGGCTTTAGTTTACAGCTGTCTTTTCAGGCTGAGAACTAAGCAGCATCATCAGGGTTTAGAGAAGCAAGCTTCAAGATTGCTTAAAGATAGATTGTAGGACCAAGGCACAGTGAAGTTGCTTTGGAAATACTAAGTTCGTGCATGCCATAAGTAGAAGTTTGTCTCATGTTGTTTCTCAGCTGAGTAAGGTTCAGTGGCTGATTTTCATCTTGGAGTTGTGTAACATTATTTCTTTCTGCAGGAATACCATGGGGATACCATCTGCTCAATTCTTTTGGGGAAAAAAAGAGTGCCATGGGGCACTTCCCTTGTGACAATGGGACAGAGTTTATGTCTGGTACCACAGTGGGGAGCTGTGATCACCTTGCCTGGATCATGCAAAAGGTGAAGAGCAGAGGCCCTGTCTTCCATCACTTGGTTCCCTGCTGTGGGCACCTGCTCCCTGTGTGGCATAAGGAGGTGTAAGATCCTGATTTTCTTCTTTTTTTTTTTTTTTTTCTTTTTAATACCAAGGAAAAACCCACAGGAGGGCTGAAGGGAGATTAGGCTCTGCCCTGGGAAGGTCTGGCAGGAGGTTGCTGCTTTCTGTAACTGTCTCAGAAATACAAGTGGGGAATTCAAAGTACAAGACAGATGAACAAAGAAGGCAACAGAGTGGAACTAGTAACAGCCTCGGGGAAAACCAGAGCAGACAGGGAAGAGTGTTACAAAGTGCTCATCAAATTTACATGCAAATAGTAATGCTAACATTGTACATGATTAACCAGAATCCCCTGCAAAGTCAAACAGGAATGAATCAAACAAAGACTTTGTGCAGCTCTGAAGCATTTGGCTGTTACTGCTACATGAAACTGCTGGCAATCTGCTTTGTGAGCAGAGTTCATGGCATCTGTGATTACATGCTGCACATCGAATTTGGCAAAAATAATGTAATCAGGTAAAGCAGCTTGTTTACTAACACTCTGAAAGTATATTGTCATTCAAGTTCACATGTAAAAGATTAACGTTAATATAAGAAATTAGATTGGCCTGAGCTTTTGGTAAAATGTTTGAAGAGAATCATTTGGAATTAAGATTTTGACTGCAGAATTTTCAAACTCCTGGTCTTGTGGCAAGGAAACACTGCTGCCTTTAGACTCATTGGTGTGGTTCAAAGGTAAGTCCTAATGTCTCCTCACTGCCATCAGAGGTTACAGAAATACTTCACTAAAGCAAAATCAGCAGACTGACATTTCACAACACTTAACAATGCTGAATCAGAGGCTTTACAAATTTTACCTCTATAAACAAGAGTGAATACCGAGAAGTATTTACACCAGGAGAAACGATCAGTGTTGTGCATCCGAGAAACACGAAGTATGTGAAGTATGCTGTTAGTATTGCATAATCAACAGCTGTCTCTGCTCTTTTGACAGGGATTTTTTTCCTGTGAGTAAAGCTGCTTCTTTGCACAGATCTTTTTTCCCCCCTTCCCAGTTGCTAACTCTTCACTAAGTTTTCCTCAGGGTGTCTGAATCATAGCTTATGAAATAGTGCTGGCTGATCCCTGCAGGGCCCTCACAAGAGACACAGAAACCTTCCATTCCATATTAGCAGCATAAGGGTAAACTATACAAAAGGGCCCATCATGCAAGAAACACCTTCTGAAAGATTACTATTTTCATCTTTGTGTTCACTCTTGTGGGATGTGTGGTGATGACTACCTGACAATTGCTTGAAATTTTACAGCAAAACAGTGGAATAAATTTTACCTTTTGTTGTGTTAATCTAGAATTTCTCTATTCCAATGTCTTTGCATATAATTGAAAAAAGTAATTTCTAGGGTATGTTTTCAGGCAATAGTTAAGAAGTAGTTAGTTTTATTTCCTATATATTAACTCATTGCTGACTGAAATTCAAGACAAAATACAAAGCATATATTGAAGGTTTACTTAGAACAAGTGCTTTCCTGTAACACAAATAATTCAGAAAAAGGGAATTTTGTTCCTTATGCATGCTTTTGTAGGTTGTCTATATATGAGATGTCTTTAAGAAGAAATGGCTCAGGTTATGGTATTTGAAGAAAAGGCAATTTGCATTTTATTTGCATTGCTTTTCCACATACATGGAATTTCAGCATTTGTTTTTACAAAGGATATTAAATCTCAGTATTTTTAATATGCAACTTTATGGTAAGTGCCATTTCATGTTATTTTATTTTAAAATTACAAGACTATGTATTTTTCTGGATTTTGATTATGAAACATTTTTCCTCTTGCTTTCAAGGCATGCCAGATTTGCTGGTTTTTTTCATCTGATTTAATCATATGTGATACAGTAAAAGTGGTGTAAATGCTACCTAAGAATGCAGGTGTGAAAGCCTGGGAGACACATAATACTCAATGCAGCAGGGATTTCACCAACACCTGCAAGACCAGTTACATTTTCTTGCTTCATCTCTGTTAAAGTTTATTCCATGTCAGATTTCAGGTTCATGAAAGAAATGGATCTCTGGACTGGCTCTCACACAACCTTTCAGAGGTTAATTCTGACCTGATGTAAACTTTCCATGCGCCACAGATATATCAGTACAGAGTCAGAGAGAAATGTAGCCAGAAATGTAGGTTTGGATAATTTTTTCCACATTTTCCCCTATTATATATTCAGTCACTCTGTTATTTCAGAGTTGGCATTTTTAATTTATTATTTCTCTGGCTCTGACCCAGAGAACCTGGCTGGATTGTTCTCCAGCCTTCAGTATCTTTGGTCAGGATCACAGTGCATGTACTTTAAATAGTATTAATTTGAGTATGGAATGCTTTTCAAATACAAAAACAAGCATGGCAGAGACACTATAATAGGAATATAGTAATGTACTTGGGTTCAGTCATGTGTTGTGAACTCTAGGTGAGAGCAAACTGGAGATTGGGCTCACTACCCATGAACTGGGGAAGAACGCAGGGATTAGGGGTGTATGGATGTCAATAGATTCCCGGCCTCTAGTGGACACAATGGAGAAATGCTCATGGGAACGTGAATACTGCATAGGGAAACCCATGCAGTATTTTTGGGCAAAAGCTCCTGAAAAGTCTTTCTTTCAAAGGCTTATCTATTATTTGTGTAAAACTATCACATCCCCATCATTCACTGTAGCTTTAAATGCAGAGGTTCCAGAAAATCAGTTAACATTGCCTGATTTTTTACAACTAATTTCAAAATCCTAATTGCTGTTTTAACTAAACAGTTACAATGAGACATTCCTGAAACTGGAGGACAAGAGGCTGGAGAATGGCCTTGCAGAAAGAGATCTGAGGGTGTGGGCTGGGGGCAAGTTGAATCTGAGTCAGCAGTGCCCTGGCAGCCAAGAGGCCAACTGTGTCCTGGGGGGCATCAGGCAAAGCATCTCCAGGCCCGTCGAGGGAGGGGATTGTGCCGCTCTGCTCTGCACTGGGGCAGCCTCACCTTGGATATTGTGGGCAGTTTTGGGCACCACAATGTAAGAAAGATACTGAGCTCTTGTAGAGTGTCCAAAGGAGGGCAACAAAAACGGTGAAGGGCCTTGAGGGGAAGCCATATGAGGAGGGGCTGAGGTCACTTGGGCTGTTCAGCCTGGTGGAGACTGAGGTGACCTCGTGGCAGCCTACGGCTTCCTCATGAGGGGAAGTGGAGGGGCAGACACTGGTCTCTCTGGTGACCAGTCATAGGACATAAGGACATGAAATGAAACTGCATCAGTTAAAGTTTTGGGACATTCGGGAAAGGCTCTATGCTGAGAGGGTGGTTGATCACTGGAACAGGCTCCCCAGGAAAGTAGTCTCCAAGCCTGTCAAGTTAAGGGAGCATCTGGATCATGCTTAGTCATATGGTGGTAGTCATAGAATATCTCAAGTTGGAAGGGACCCATAAGGATCATCCTACAAGGAGCAGGGAGTGTGACTCAGTGATCCTTATGGGCCCCATAACCATATTCTATGAACCAAAGGACTACACTGTGGGTGAAGAAGGCTGGAATGCAGTAGGCTGTGGCTTCTCTTCCCATACAGCTGATGCCTGCTTTCAGCCACTGCATGAAAGATATTTAGGAGCTAAAAATTTCTGTACTTGCAATAAGGCTTTCTTATACCAAGAAAATTTCTACCCAGGATGCAAATGGTGGCTTCACTTTTCTGCCTTGGCCTCCAGCTCATACTGAAGTGTTATATGTCGGGCACAGCAGCACTCAGTGGTGGTGGACTTTTGTTCAGGCCACGATAGTTTATTGTCAGCCCCCACTCTCCACTGGACTTAACACACCAGCCATATGACTGTTAATTGGTGAGCGAGGCTTGTTGACCACCCCCTGGCTCTCCAGCTCATGAATCGTCTTGTGGATGGGGGTCACAGAGCCCTGGTTGGTGCAGGATGGGGGTCACAGAGCCCTGGTTGGTGCAGTATTGCTGATGGGGCACTGATGTGGTAGTGATCGGTACCTGTTGTTCTTCCACCCTCAGCAGTCCCACACCAGAAGGGTCCTCAGAGACACCAGGCAAGGTATTCAGCTGCCTAATTGTCTCCACAACAGCTATCTCAAAAGCCCAACAATGCCCTTTTGGGCCTAAGAAATAGCCTCTCCTGAAGTAATCTTTGCCAAAGATGCACAGGGCCTCTAGGTCAGTCACAATGAGGTGTTGCCATTCACTTCCAGTCAAGCTCACTTCAGTTTCCGATACAGTCAGCTGTTGGGATCCTACTGACACCTCAGAAATAGAGATGGATTCTGCTCCTGCATATCTTGATGGCGTCAGGGTACACTGTGTGCCAGTGTCAGCTAGAGTCTTATACCCTTGTGGGTCTAATGTGCCAGGCCACATAAATCCAACTGTCCCTTTTCAGTACCGGGCTGGAGGCATGGCCTCTAGCTCTGGTTTATAGTACTTGTTTCTCACTTCTTGTAAGTAGGAACTGCACGTTCTTTCAAGAGGACTGCAAGTAACATCAGTCCTTCAATTCTGTCAGAGGACTTGCCCACTGGAAACTGGAGCAGCATTTATGCTTGAAGAATTTCCTGTGGTGGTTGTTCTCTCAACCCACCTACCTGTTCTGCTAGGGCAGAGGTAAAGTAAACCCCCTTCCTCTTGTCCTCTCTGTGGTCATGCAGATAAAAACACAGGTTACCTCATGGCGTGTATCCCTCCTCTTTCAAGCAGGAGGGTGCTTGCTCCCAATAGCAGAAACTCTGATCCACACTGGTGGGACATGGGACATTTCCTCTCTAGCTTGCGCAAGTCTTTCAAATCTGTCCAGTCTTGGACAGTCTTTCCACAGCCGAGGTGCAGGTAGGTAGGGAGGAAAACAGATGATCATCATATTGCTGGAGTCAGTCACTGGAGCACTGTTTTCCTTCTTTCACTATATTATGGAAGACTTAAATGTTAATGCTTAATAACTCAAAACAGCCATTTGTGGAGGTGGCAGGGTGCTTTGCTGGGCCTGGGTTTGTAACCCCCTGCTGAGGGGGAGAGTTTTGGGTGTGTGGTGGTGAAACCTCTGATGCAGAGGGCATGAGCACCAGGGGATAATGATGACAAATCAGCCTCTGTTTAGCAAGAAATTGAGTTTTGAGCCAGATGAGGGAAGAGGCTGATCCCTCAAGGTGGGATGGTGCTTTTTATTATGCCAGTGTCCTCCCTTCCACAACCGGCTCAGTTGTAAAACTCTCGAGGGGAGATATTGGGGCATTCATATATAGGTGTCCATCCCTTCTGATGGGGCATAACTGGCTCAACTACACTGACATGAGGGACAACTGTCACGTCTTAGAAGGTGTCATAAACCATCAAAGATCCCCAAAGCACCCCCAGATTCATTGATGGAGCTTTCCACCACAGGACTGCACATGATCTACACTGCTGAATCAGTGTAAAGCTCCAGCCCTAGGGGACTTATGAGACATTCCTAAGTAAACCTAAATATATATTAACCCACTGAACTTTGTGTTTTGTGGGCTTTCTCCCACCCTTGATGGATCAAGACTGCAACCATCACTTTGACCAGCGGACACTGAAATAGCAACAATCAGGTCTCGTCGCTGGATCCACAGGTGGTGTTATCTTTCTGCTCTTATCATTCCTTTCTTTTCCTTTTATTTTCTTAAGTGATATTTTTATGCTTTTATATTGTTATATTACTTTAGATAATAATAACCAAAATGGCTCCATACCTGCTTTCCATTGCAACCAGATTGTTCTAAAATAAACCCTACACACACATATATACATACATATTTATAAACACTGGTCACTCAGTGTCTTTTTGCTCTAATCTGCCCAAAGGGATCTATTAACAAGAACTTGAATTACCCTTGTCCTCAGGGGTGGGTTGTAACAGACATGAATGCAAATGAGTTGGTGTATGACAATGGTGTGCTCCAATATAAACTTCCGCCACATGGATTGTGTACACCTCTGAATCTACAGGGGACTGCTCACTATTTGAACCTCTATAGATTACCACCAGCACAGCTGATTCTCTCAGGTACTGGATACCTTTCTCTATGGTCTTCCACCTGCTTCGATGCACTATTAGACCATTCTTGAGAAAATACCTTTCCCTCCTTGACAGGAGTTGCCTCTTCCAGTCCCCTTTTAATTCCCGTATCTCAGGACAGGAATCCCAATTTCTTGGCTTCACTACCATCTAATGTCATATTGTAGGCTGCAATATCCCAGCATTGCAGCAGACAGGTCACCAGGGGGTCACCCAACTGGTGACTGAAATATTTCTGCATACCTCACAGCTTACCCAGGGATAGGGATCAGATAGAAATCTCTAGCCCTGGCTCTTCCTCCTGTTGTGAGGTTCCTGCTTCCTCTTCATCCCTCACTAGACTTCATCTAGTCTTGGATTTCTTCTGTATAGGTGGGATTGCTATTGGCCCGAATTGTTCCTGAGGTTCAGCTGCAGTCTGAGTGGCCACAATGCCTGTTCTGCTTTCCTCCTCCTCCCCCTGAGGATGCCATCTGGTGACCATCAGTGTCTGATAAACAGTAGCCAGGGCCCAGCACACTGCATAACTTTGCACCTCTTTCAAGTTGCCACAACATTTTTCCTTCACATATTCTACCACTTTATCAGGGTTCTATAGTTGTTCAGGGGTGAACTTCCAAACCATTGGAGCAGAATAATCCTTCAAAAGGTGGCCGTTTTATCCTGCATTTCATGTCACTCATGACTTATTGACCCTCAGGGCAGATCTCTGAATGACCTTCCTAGAAATTCCTTTCTTGACTCTAAACATGGTGTGGACTGCACTGAGAAGACCTGGCAGACTTAGCAACTAAACCATGCCTTCCTTAATATCCAGAGGGAGTTCACAATTCTTAAAAGCTGTTGTAACAGGCCTGAAGGAGAAAAAGGGGGTTAAAAGCTGGGGAAAATCATCCTTCCCTGTTCTATCCCCAGACTGGGTACAGTTATTAATGGGCTCCCACAACTAGTGCCCAAGGTAAGGATAAGAGAGCAGCACTGAATATGCATCCCAAATAACCCTCACTGCCCTTGATGTTATCATGCCATAAACTGATATCCCACAGTACATCATCAAAGCAATCCTGATCCCTCTTCCTACTCTGAAAGGTATCATCATGAGGGGCACAAATGAGAATATATAGAGGGTTAGGCACCACAGCCACATGAAAAGACTAAGCAACATTGTGACCAGTGGCTCCACACCCACAACAACAGACGCTTAGATCCATTTTATTTCCAACCTGTTCTGGCCAGATCTGCTGTTATCTCAACCCTTTGTGCCCCACACTGGGTGCCAAATAAGGCTGTCCTGGTTTAGGAATGGTACTCCCAATTTAGTGCTCCTGATGAGACCCTCCAAACCATGCTGCTGCTCGCTCAGTCCCCCACTCCCTCTCCCCTCCCCCTGAGGCCAGAAGGAAAGGGGAATTGGAGGCACAAAAGGTAAAGATGACAGATTGAGAAAAAGAACAATTTACTGGAAACAGCAATGAGATACGAAAACGAACAGTAACAGCAACAATATTAATAACAAAAGTATACAAAGAGAGAGTGATTCACATGCAAAAATGCTCACTGCAGAGTTTGACCCAACTCCACTGCAGCCACACCACTCCAAGTGGAAGGAACCTCTTCTTTCTGAAAAAGACTCCCTCCCCCGCACCCCTGGTAATGACAAAATATCCCAGCCATGCCCCCTCCTGCCTATTGCAAAAATTAAACCTGTCCTGGCCAGAGCCAGGACAAATATGAACTGTGGATATCAAAAACTATCACACACAGTGCACATTTTAGTATTATTAACAATAAAGAAATCTGTCTTGTGGTGATATACGTCAATACCTAAACACATTTCTTCATGTGACTATCAGTGATGGGTCGAAGTAGGACACTTGGCACAGTGCCGCCCACTGCACTCAGTGTAAACACTTAGATGGTCAAAACTGGATTTTATTTACAAAGATTTTCATGCATGACAGTTTTTTTCTTCTAAAATTATATAAAATACATTTAAGAAAAGAATGACATTGCATATTTGCATGAACAACAAGGAAAGAAGAGGAAGAATACTAAATAGCTTAACTAAAATCAGCAAATAGTTGAACTGAGATAAAGTTACAAAACAACCAACCTTTGTCACCAATTACAGGGCCAAAAAGCAGTTCAAGTCTCCAAGCCAAGAACTGACACCCGAAGAAGAGCCAAGCTTTATTCCTTGATATTTTGAAGTAGCCTTAATAAATGAGACTCAATAACCTGTTGAACTAGATCAGAGAAAAAAGATGAGCTTAATCAGTGTTCCTTTTTTTTTTCATATTTTTAGGGTTGTATTGTTTTTTCTGCCAGATGCCTGCTTGTCCTGTACAATGATTTATTAAAAGCCAGATGGGAATAAATTCACTTTGTGAAGAGAATTTGCATCCCTTCAGAAAATAAAAGCCTTATATAATGCAACAACAATACATCCAGTAAGGCAGATGATGGGTTTTGGGGGTCCTCATCTGTTCTGTGGTTTGAATAGGTTGGTAGCATACAGAAAGCAAATTTTTAGCCTAAAAAGTAGGGGAAAAATTATTAGGAATTTCTTCTGTGGAACATTCTGAGATTAAGGTTTTGAAGCAGTCCTGCATCTAGACATCTGTGAAGTTACTGGCTCATTCATAAGCAGAGGGCTCTGCTTGGAGAAGCAGCACATGCAGTGCTGGGTGTATTTTTGGGTTCAGTTCATTTTTGTAATGGCAGACATTGCACACCTTTCAAAATGAAGGCAAGATGAGTTAAAAAAACAATGAGAGTCCCTTCTTTGCTTCTGTTTTCCATAACTAAGTGAGGTAGTATATTCACTACTGATCCTATTACTGTGTGCCTCCAAGACAAACTAGAGATAGAGCTAGTATGACAGGGGAAGAAGGTTTTTTCAAACTACATTTTTACACGCCTGTCAACCACAGTGAGTGGTTCAGGAAGGCTGCAAGCCTCTTACCATTGTCCAGTGACACACTGCTTTGTACAGGGATGGGGGAGCAGCTCGGCTCCCCATGTCTAAATCATGGCTGCATCAGCCCTAAACACCAATATTTGTTCCCACTGATGCAGATCTAGGCCAGTGACATTTTCTTACTTGGTACCTGGCTTTCTGAAAAAAGGATGGAAGCCCCTACCCATTTTGGCCTGATTAGTTTAGGTGTATTAAGACTTGTAGGACAGCTGCAAAACCTCTATCAGGTCATTAAAGCAGCTACATATACAAGGAGCTGTAAAAATTAAAATATTTTAGAAGAGTTTACATTTGCGATACTTACCACTCCGATAGCCCAAGGCTACAGCCAAATCCATGGAATTATAGCCAGCATCTGTTTCGATAGTTGGATCAGCACCACTTTCTATGTAAAACAGGAACAGAATCTTTTATTTCTGACAATGAGAACTGATAGTACATTATTACTGGCAATAATGACTGTTTGGACAGTCTGCTTACCAAGGAGAATTTTTACACATTTCACATGGTTCCCATGTACTGCATATAGTAAGGGTGTGCCTCCATTCTGCAAAAGCAGAGAAATGCCTTAAGACACTTAGTAATTAAGCAGTCTGCAATTCTAATTCCCTAAAACACCAATATGCTTCTATGTATCAGTAAGAGACTTCATACTATAATTTTATGAAAATGAGGTTGTTTTGGATCTTCACAACTTCCATCTTTTTTTGTCTGTTTTTTAAACTTTAAGCTCACACTTCTACAAGGAGCCAGCATTAATCTTGTTCTCCTTCTCCCAAGAAATCAGAACTAGTAGAACCAACTTCTCTTATCCTATGGAAGTTCTGAAACTCTCATATATTTCGGAAGAGGTAAAACAATTTTAAAATCCAAGCCAGTGTTATTTCCTGCTTCAGTTTTCTGACCAAAGCACCCTCTGACATAAATTTAAGCTAGAGTCTTACCCAGTCATACTCATTGACATCAACTCCACAGTCGAGCAGCATTTTGACAATATCTGTGTACCCTTTACTGCAGGCCAGTGAGAGAGCACTTTCTCGCCCTTTTCCCAGAATCTGAGGATCTGCACCCTGAAATAATAGTATCAATTTAAAAACAAGAAACAAGTTTGAGGTTTTACATAGAACTTAAATTTAAATCATTTAACTCTATAGCAACACTGACAAACTCAGGAAGGCAAAATGAGTAAATAAATTTAAAATTGTGTTTTTTTCCTTACATTCTGGAGGAGAAATTCCACTACTGCTATCTGCCCATGAGCTGCAGCCCACATCAGAGGGGTAAATCCTTCTTCATCCTTATGATTGATTAAATTTTCTGTTTAAAGAAAAATATATAACTTAGTAATCCCTTTCACTGATGCACTGTAAGAGCTGGTGAAATGTGTTGATGAATCCATGGTGAATACCATGTATTCACCAGGTACCAGTGTGGCCTAAAAGTCATTCTCATCTTAACTTCAAAAACAAAATTCTCTCCCAGTGGTGGTAGAAGTAAGTACCTTTGTCCCAGAAAGAAAAACACATCCAACTGACCAAACTAAGAGTTAAACTTTTCATTTAATACTTTAAAATTTAAGTTTTTAAACTTTATAAAGTATATTATACTGTAGGCAGTGGTTTTTTTCATACAGTGAGCCATACAATGTTATAAAGAATATGCCTATACAGCAATATAGATAGAACAACTCCATTCCCTTCAAAGTTCATGTAATCAATATCTATGAAAACAATTAAGGTCTACATCTAGTGCAGCTGCGGAAAAAAAAAAAAAAAGCTTTTTTTAACAATTGGCTGGCTGAAATAGTTCAGGTGGATTTTTTTAAAAAATATCTATACTTTAAAAAATTCCATGCGTA